TAGTATTCTACATTCCAGGGTATGTGAATTGTACTAACTTAGGTAGTAATAACATAACAGAGTAAAATACTAAAATGTAAACATTATAAAACCTACCAAACATTTTAGTAAATTGAAGCGTAACAGTCTATATAAGCCTCTTCATTTACTATTACCTGTCGTTGTAGAAAAGATTATTAAACATTTATTTTCTGTATTATTCTTACATTTAATCCCCAAAGCATGGTGTGTTATTGCCTGTATGTCAACATTGAAACTAATCATTTAATAACCCAAATGAAGTATTTAAACACGATCTCCAAAATCCAGACAGGAAATGTAACATGCAATATTAAAAATGATTAACAACTTTCCAGATAATGGACTCTATAACAATCAAGAGAGGCTTCATCCGATTAAATGGCCTCACACTTTCATTTGCAATGCTGCACTGCAGAAAGAAAAGGCAGGAGTGTGCATTGAAGAATACACACTTAAAGTATCAAAGACAGATTTATAGCCCAGGTATATAAACTAATTCACCACCAGTACAAAGGACCTTGCTCCATGTTACCAAGCCTAACAGCTCACTGCCTCTGATGTTGATTTTAAATGCCCCATGTTCTTTACTAGCCTTTTATTCTCATCGGTGAGCACTAATGTAATCATACTTTTAACTCTTTTATTCCTTTCAGTTTTTAAAAGAATCTAAAACCTAAAATAACTGCTGATTATTTGTAGTCACACATGGTATTTAGAGTACCAGTAACACCACCACTGTAGATGAAATCCTGCCCTGTTGAAACCAATGGGAGTTTTGACACTGAATTCAATGGAGCCAATGCAGCTGCCCCCAAAAACGTATAGGCTAAAGGGAAGCACAACATAAGCAGCTGGTGGTGCTGCCTATCTTGTTTGAGTCCCGTGAGGTGATGTCTTTCTTCATTGCTGCAAACTGGCTCTTCACCCACACCATGAAGTATAAAGGTTTCACTACTAAAATGTCAGGTAATATCAGGCTCTGACACATTTAAGTCAAGTAGCAGAAGACAGAGTTAAATTTGTTCTGCAGTACTTATGTGTGCTGCCATTCAGGTCCATGGCTGATAGTAATCTGAAGAAAGGAACATTCGGGACACCACTGATTAAGAGGCTGTTTCACATGGGAAAGAGATGATGTGCCAAGAATGGAGGATGAAAAGAAAGGGAGTGGTTAGGAGTAAGACTACCCTCCAGGCACTGGGAAGCGCATAAGAAGAAACAGAAGAGTGGAGTGCTTTAAATGGCATGGCGAGATGTTGGAACTGAATGAGGGGGGGAAAGGCGGAGCCAGGGCACACATAAAAGGAGATGAAAGGAAAGAGGTCAGAGCAATAGGAGAAGATTATTTTTAATCCCAGGAAGATGAATTTAGCCACAGTATTTGGGTCAGTGTGAAGCTTCATGTATACTAAAGAATTGCACTATTGCAACTTGAACTTGTCCAGTCACATGGGTGCAAGTTGGCACAGTGCTGCATGTCCACTACCCATCCAGTTTTGAGTACAATATAAAACACAGTAGTCCTGAGCATCTGAGTTCCACGACACAGATGTAACCAAGAACTTTCAGCTGGCAAACATGCATGCAGCCATGATTCCTTAAAATGGAAAGCAGAGGAGACCTGAACTTTTATGAGTCTCTGATACGCAGGACTAGCTGGTCTGTGGCAAAAGTATGTAAAACACAAGCTTAACCCACGTATTTGTAACTCATCTCATAACTCGGACCATGCTCTAATCACCAGATCACATGCAGTTCCTCTTTACAAACAAACAAACTACAAATATTTAAATATGTATATATATTTGGAATACTTGATTTCCTTTGAGACACCTTAGATTCTAGTGTGAATTGTGTCCTCATAGACCTATCATTAAGAGAGAGCTAGATTGTTTGTACAGACTTACGTTTTGCATTGGCAGAAAACTAATAATTCCGCTGTGCAAGTGTGTGCTATTTCACTGCTTTTGGAGAAAGCGACTGCTTATCTCCAGCATAAATTATACTAAAAGTTATACAAATCAGAGGACTCAGAAGTCGAACCATGGTAACAGCCCTTACCACCTGAAACTTATTTCACTTCCCAAAACAAGAGACGCCTTTAAAGACACATTTTCTTTTCACAAAAGCTATTAATTTCACATGTAAATTCTTAAAAACAACCCAAGCGTTCAGAGTTTATAACCAACGTACAGTTTATAATCCTCCATATAACTTTTTGTCCGTCTATTATCGAGTATATACCACATTAAAAATGTGCATGAGTAGCTCATTAAAATCCAGTGACACGAGTATAGTTTACTGGTATGTGTCATCTGCAAGAGATAATGCTCTGTAATCTAGAGCCTGAATGGGGTATAAGGAACAAAACAGGGTGTTTCAGACAAAGGAAACTTCGGGATGTATTGTTCCCATAAACAGATGTTAAATTACTTCACTGCACAACAGAATTGATAATCCTGAAGGTTTCTATGCAAACAAGCAACATCAGTTTACTATTTCAGGAGGGAGCAATAAAGTTCTCATTTTACATGCAACTTGTAATGAACTGCAGGCCAATTATAAAAAGCCAAAGGTTTCTCACCAGAAATGCTATGCATACATAAAACTGTTGATAAAGCTCTTAAAAATGAAGCAGAATCTTTCCAGTTCACTAATGACTACCAGACCACAGCAGATGAGAGTATTTTGCAAGGGATCAAACTAAAAAGCAAATATAATACTTTACAAAATGCACTTTGCTAATTTATTTCAGTGATTTTCATTTATGAAGCATTGACACAGTAATTAAAATTAATGTACTGATAATTGCTACAGCATATATTGTTAACAAAAAAAAAACAACACACCACACACCACCATATCCTAGTAATATAAAACCTTAACACAGCTCTCAGTGACTGAATCCTTTCTGAGAAATGGGATGAGGAAGATGTTGGTTTTTAAATAATTGTAAATTAGCACGGTTCTACTTTAAATACACTGGGAAAATGCAAGAAGGGATAAAATACAAGATGACTAACCTATCTTCAAAATTGTAATGTGCTCTGCAAGGGCAGACTCCTGTAACTATATGGAGCCCCACTAAGTTATGCGGTTCCATGCAGGGACAGGGGACCACCAATATGGAACTTCTAGCAGGGGTCTTAATGTTAACACTACAGACAGTGTTGCTCTAGATACGCAGCAAGATCCCTCTTCTTGCAGTATGTTTCAGTTATGCAGCTTAAAGCACAGGACCAGCGGCTAAAACCTAAAATATATTTGACTGTACTATATACTATTAAATAATTATCTGGTGTTTATAAATATGTATGTAGATACAAATGTAAAATGTGCAGTATGAAATGTACACAGCTCCTTGAAATACAGAATAGTTTGTGATCAAGTGGTTTATGAAAAGGGGTCACCTTAAGATCCTTTAAAGTTTCTACTAATTAAGAAAATAACGATGAAATTACTTTTTGCCCCATTGCATACTGAGTTATAAAACTGGCTTCTACACAAAAGTATGCTTAATTTTTTTCAAACGTTTTAATTTTTAAAAATAGTTTCAAATGGCTTCACTGTTCAACACACAGAAATTGGCTCATGAGGCTGGTAAAAATGACCAGATTTCAATTTTGTTTCTAGTTAGGCAGATTATTTCCCACAAGTATGGATTCAGCCATCCAGTTAACATCTTCTGAAAGATTGAGCAAACAGTTGGTTCATCTCAAGTCCAATATTGCTCTAATCATTTACTGTGACAATTTTAATCACTATTAACTGCTGATGCATGAGCTAAAATGCATACTTCTCATCCTCTTATGAGGCATCTTCATCTTTCCTGCAAACTTATTACAGATTTGTTTATATCTTGTTGGTAGAAAAATATGTTTTGAAATAAATACCACAGGCCAGAAAAAAATCTTTAAATGAAAAAGAGGGAGCATGTTCTAACTGATCCCAAATTTCAGACCCCATTAATTTGAGAGTGCCATTTGAAAGACATCCCATTCAGTTGTTCACCAATAAAACTTAGAAGAGTATCACAAGGGTATGGGACTTTCACAATTTGCATCCTTCCAAAGAAGGGATGATACAAAATCTGTAGTTTTATTTATTTGCAAGTGATGACAACACATCCATTTCAGAATTAAGAGAAAATATATAAATACACAAATATATTTAATTGTAATTGCACCTTTCATTACTGCTAATTGAGAAGGTGAATTACTTCCTTACACTGTCTTTTTATATTTAACTCAGAGTGAAATTTATTTTTGATTAATATTATGTTGATTGCATTCTTTAATAACGAATCACAAACTATGAAAAGACATTTCCCTCTTTTATTCTGCAACACGAAGTTGCATAGGATGACAATCATATTTTGTGCGCGCGCACTTCCCATGAGAAAAACAGTGAACATTTTCACCTAGCCATGAGCCATGTGACAAATCACTACAGTTACTGTTTAGCCTGACATCACTGAGGTCTGCAACAACTGAGGTTTGCAACAGTTATGTCTTCATTGAGGAGTTAGTTTGAGTTATCTATATAGCTTGAGTGAGATGGCCAACTGCAAAATAACACTCCTGAAATACAGAGTTATTGTGTTAGGAGCACAGAGTAAATGTTTCCCTTCTGCATTACTAGCTCGAGTGTCAGGAGCACCTGAGCTTGGATTCATGCCTTCTCCTCCCTACGCCCTGGCCCCGCCATAGGCCAGCTAGCTCACCATTCTAGTTTGTTTGAGGAAATACTGTCCTCTGTTATGATGTGGTCAATATTTACCTCAGCTTTCTTACTAAAATGGGTATTTCGAGTCTATACATCTTTATATTCATTTCAATATATTGTTCTATTCCCAATAACTTAAAACACTATGATAAAGTGCAATTTTGATTTTCTTTGCAGTGAGGCATTACTGTTAGGAGAAACAGTTTTTTTAAAAAAAGAACATATCAAAATACATCACATTCTAAGGTACTTACATCAGTGTCAGGCCCTTTGTCTGCACCGGGACAAGAAAAGGTAACAAATTCATGGCACCTCTTGTGAACCACAAAGCAGCAAACTAGTTTAAAAAAAAAAAAGGGAAACAACGGTTAGAGTGGCACACATTTACTAAATCTTTACTGTTGAAACAAACTGAGTTTAACTGAAATCAGTGTATGGAAGAGGGAACTTCAGAAAGTTAGGATACTTTGGATTAAAAAGTGACAATTCTCTGTGATGTTTACATGTGCGTGTACCCTTTTAATGCTGGTATTACATTTTGTCTATTTTTGAAATACTGTGAAGTATATGAAAGTCACTGTTTGCTCTGCTACAAAAATGACTTGTAGACTTAATATTTTTCCAGTGTTGCAGTCAGGGATTTATTTGGTTACAAATTTGAAAGACACTTCTCCCGCCACAACACAATGTCATATTGGACCAGCAGGTCTTCCAATGTTGCCATTTTATTTTATGGAACACTTGGACTTTTCAGTAGGCCTCTCCTCAAATCTTTATATTTTTCACTCTATAGCTTACACCTTTTAAAGAAAGGAAAACCCAGCCTCTTGGTTAGGACAAATATTTTCCTGAGGGAGTTATACCATCACATGTTAATGTTCTTATGTTCTGCACTTTAGGTGAATACAAAATTACAAGGATATTACTGTTGTTCATCCAGTCTTATGAAAAAGATTGTTCTCTTGTGTATATACCTTGCAAACACTAGTTATATTACATCAGTCAGTGTATTCTCTCTGGTAACTTTGATTTAAGCATTACGGCATTGCATAAACCCTGCTAGAACCATTTTAGACAGCACAACTTGTAAGGAAACTCCTCTAAATCATCATTTATAGATTACACTGTATTTTATTCTATGTCAGGCTGAAAGTTCTTGATTCGATTCAACTACTTAATAATTTAGGAAGAAACTACGGAGCTCATTTGTAACACTTAAGCCATAAAAAAAAACTTCAGACAACTCTACCTAAAAAATGCTCTATCTTGTTACAGCTAGAGGAAACAAATACAGAGATGGCATAGCTCTATAAATAATTTTCCCTATAAATACATGAATGAGGACAGGGCAAGTGGGAAGAAGAGTGAATGGAAAGAATTCACAAATTTAAAAGGCCAGAAACAGCAACAGTGACAGTGCATAACACAGTCCATAGCATTTTACCTATGAATTATTACAAAAACTAGACAAGCCATTTACAACACACACTTTGCTTCTCTATAAAAGAAAAAAGGACACTAAACTATCTAAACTACTACATGCCACAAGGGGCAACAACAGTGGTTCCCTTAACCACCCAGCAATATTGTTAATCTATCCAACTATACTCTTAGCCCATCAGAAAAATATATCCTATCTCGGGGCCTCTCCTTCTCCCCCTCCACCCCCACAAACACGATACAGTTCTGTGGCGACCTAGAATCCTATTTTCGATGTCTCCGACTCAAGGAATATTTCCAACACACCTTTGAACAACACACTAACCCACAGAGACCTTCCTACCCAAGACTACAAAAAGAAGGATTCTGGGTGGACTCCTCCTGAAGGTCGAAACAACAGACTGGACTTCTACACAGAGTGCTTTCACCGACGTGCACGGCTGAAATTGTGGAAAAGCAACATCACTTGCCCCATAACCTCAGCCGTGCAGAACACAATGCCATCCACAGCCTCAGAAACAACTCTGACATCATAAACAAAAAGGCTGATAAAGGAGGTGCTGTCGTCATCATGAATAGGTCGGAATATGAACAAGAGGCTGCTCGGTAGCTCTCCAACACCACTTTCTACAAGCCATTACCCTCTGATCCCACTGAGGGTTACCAAAAGAAACTGCACCATCTGCTCAAGAAACTCCCTGAAAAAGCACAAGAACAAATCCGCACGGACACATCCCTGGAACCCCGACCTGGGGTATTCTATCTGCTACCCAAGATCCATAAACCTGGAAATCCTGGACGCCCCATCATCTCAGGCATTGGCACCCTGACAGCAGGGTTGTCTGGCTATGTAGACTCCCTCCTCAGGCCCTATGCTACCAGCACTCCCAGCTATCTTCAAGACACCACTGACTTCCTGAGGAAACTACAATCCATCGGTGATCTTCCTGAAAACACCATCCTGGCCACTATGGATGTAGAAGCCCTCTACACCAACATTACACACAAAGATGGACTACAAGCCATCAGGAACAGTATCCCCGATAATGTCACGGCAAATCTGGTGGCTGAACTTTGTGACTTTGTCCTCACCCATAACTATTTCACATTTGGGGACAATGTATACCTTCAGATCAGCGGCACTGCTATGGGTACCCGCATGGCCCCACAGTATGACAACATTTTTATGGCTGACTTAGAACAACGCTTCCTCAGCTCTCGTCCCCTAATGCCCCTGCTCTACTTGCACTATATTGATGACATCTTCATCATCTGGACCATGGAAAAGAAGCCCTTGAGGAATTCCACCATGATTTCAACAATTTCCATCCCACCATCAACCTCAACCTGGACCAGTCCACACAAGAAATCCACTTCCTGGACACTATGGTGCTAATAAGCAATGGTCAAACACCACCCTCTCTGAAACCTACTGACCACTATTCCTACCTACATGCCTCCAGCTTTCATCCAGACCACACCACACGATCCATTGTCTACAGCCAAGCTCTACGATACAACCGCATTTGCTCCAACCCCTCAGACAGAGACAAACACCTACAAGATCTCTATCAAGCATTCTTACAACTACAATACCCACCTGGTGAAGTGACGAAACAGATTGACAGAGCCAGAAGAGTACCCAGAAGTCACCTACTACAGGACAGGCCCAACAAAGAAAATAACAGAAAGCCACTAGCTGTCACCTTCAGCCCCCAACTAAAACCTCTCCATCGCATCATGAAGGATCTACAACCTATCCTGAAGGACGATTCATCACTCTCACAGATCTTGGGAGACAGGCCAGTCCTTGCGTACAGACAGCCCCCCAACCTGAAGCAAATACTCACCAGCAACCACACAACACACAACAGAACCACTAACCCAGGAACCTATCCTTGAAACAAAGCCCGTTGCCAACTGTGTCCATATATCTATTCAGGGGACACCATCATAGGGCCTAATCACATCTGCCACACTATCAGAGGCTCGTTCACCTGCACATCTACCAATGGGATATATACCATCATGTGCCAGCAGTGCCCCTCTGCCATGTATATTGGTCAAACTGGACAGTCTCTACATAAAAGAATAAATGGACACAAATCAGACATCAAGAATTATAACATTCAAAAACCAGTCGGAGAACACTTCAATCTCTCTGGTCACTCGATTACAGACCTAAAAGTCGCAATATTAGAACAAAAAGACTTCAAAAACAGACTCCAGCGAGAGACTGCTGAATTGGAATTAATTTGCAAACTGGATACAATTAACTTAGGCTTCAATAAAGACTGGGAGTGGACGGGTCATTACACAAAGTAAAACTATTTCCCCATGTTTATTCCCGCCCTCAACCCCCCACTGTTCCTCAGACGTTCTTGTCAACTGCTGGAAATGGCCCACCTTGATTGTCACTACAAAAGGTTCCCCCACCACCCCCACCCCCCCGTGATCCTGCTGGTAATAGCTCACCTTAAGTGATCACTCTCGTTACATGGTGTGTATGGTAACACCCATTGTTTCATGTTCTCTATGTATATAAAATCTCCCCACTGTATTTTCCACTGAATGCATCCGATGAAGTGAGCTGTAGCTCACAAAAGCTTATGCTCAAATAAATTTGTTAGTCTCTAAGGTGCCACAAGTACTCCTTTTCTTTTTGTGCATATGGCCTAACATGGCTGCTACTCTGAAATCTTCCCTATTATATAAGTTGACACCATCAAGCCAAGTAACTTGTTTCAAAATCTGGACTTTGGGGCATACAGAAATATAGACATTACCCTGTGAAGATTTCAGAGTAACAGCCGTGTTAGTCTGTATTCGCAAAAAGAAAAGGAGTACTTGTGGCACCTTAGAGACTAACCAATTTATTTGAGCATGAGCTTTCGTGAGCTACAGCTCACTTGCATCTGATGAAGTGAGCTGTAGCTCACGAAAGCTCATGCTCAAATAAATTGGTTAGTCTCTAAGGTGCCACTAGCACTCCTTTTCTTCTTCCTGTGAAGATTGGTACTCTGTTTACAACTATATGAAGTTTTTGCTTATTTAAAATTATGTTAGGAGCATCATTTTACATATTTTAAAATGACTGTAACATTGCTGTGGTTAACTTTTGTTAAACCTAGTGGTCATTTTTCAGAAGTTTCAAGCAAATTTGACTCTTTAAATGCGCACTTGGACTAAAAGTCCCATAACTGTTGATTGGCAAACTGGGTCAGGATTTGTCACGTTATACAGCAATGAAGAGCTTTTTCAAAACTTAAATGCATCATGTAGCCAGGTGGCATGTCTATTTATGGGACATAAACTTGTCCATTGTTGGCTCCACTTCAGACATTCCCCACAATTCCCCTGAAAATTTGCCACTGCCAACAACTATGTATGGGGCCTCCGAGTAAATACTCATGGGTTTAAGGAGACGTGTATTTGAAGCAGGAAAAGGATTTATTTCCTCCTGGCAGAGCCTCTCTTTGCCCACAACAGTCAATTTTGGTGCCTTTTATAGGCGACAGGAATTATCCAACAGGGAGCATAGCCTTTGTTCCCCCGAAGTCCTACCCCACAAAGGTGCACTATTTGAAGTGGCCAGTGCCACTTATCAATCAATTCTGAGGAAAGAAATGACATTAAGCTGAGTTACAGTTGTAAATCTCTATCAGTCTCTGACAGGAGGAGAAATCTAAAAGATCTCTGTAGTTATCTGAAAAACCCATAAATGTTAGACATAGAAGTTATAAATACTGTATAACACGCAAAGAGATATTACATGCTTAATTATATTCTTTAGGTTGGATGATGCATAAACTGTCAACACCAGTAATGAGAATAATATAGTTGACAATAGGTCCTCATTGTAATTTTATATAGTCTTGATGTATGTTATGTCTTTGA